TCAGTGGGGTGCAGCAGCAAAATTTTGTTCTGCAGAGTGTGCCGGAGGATGGATGCAACCCTAGATCAAGGAACATACTCTCTGTTTTCCTCCCAGCACGCACCAACATGTACAGTGAAGTCATGTAAGGATATATCCAGAGTCCTCTTCTGCTATGCCTTGCAGCCTTGATAATGCTAATTCAAAAATGAGCCAGATGTTGGGGTTACAGCCTTCTCCAGCTTCTTCCTCATTTTAACTCTTCTCTCAGTGAGAACAATTTAATTAATTATTTTTATCCCACTTTTCTCCCCAGTGGGGACTAGTGTTCCCTCTAAGCTGAGTTGGTGTGAGCTAGCTCACAGTTTTTTAGCCTCCGGCTCACAGATTTGTCTCAGCTCAGGAAGGGTGGCTCCAGAGCAAACTAATTTATGCAGTAGCCAAATTGCTCGCTCACAACGGTAATGCCAGTCGCTCACAAAGTAGAATTGTTGCTCACAAGACTCCACAGCTTAGAGGGAACATTGGTGGGGACCCAAAGGAGCTGACACTACGTGAGAAAATACAAGAGAAATAACATGAGAAAAGGAAGGGGAGGTTTCTGGGAGCAGAGTCAATCTCTCAGGCACCACCCATCACAGCCGTTCTTCCTGCCAGCTTGAGGCTGTGACCCGCAGACTACCCTTTTAGCTCACAATTCTGGGCATGCCCAAGTCTTAAATACCTGCAGAGCAGGAAGAAAACAAAGTCAACTAGATGATATACCTGCTGCCACTCAGCTAGCAGGCTCTTCCTCATTTCCTCCTCTGCCAGCAAACTCCTCTGGGAGACATATTTTGGAAAGGGATTTTCTCATGGGTTTCCCACCTGCCCCTCCTTCACAAAATCTGAATCTTGTCACTGTTAGACTGTCACATTGACTGTTTGTCACATATACAATGGGGAAGAAAAAGTGAATTGAATTTAAGAAAAACTCCTACAGTTAGTTGTAAGCACACCCAGGGGTCATTTTGTAGAAAAAGAGGTGCAGGAGCTCATTAGCATAACTTATTTGCATATGCCACACCCCCTGACATCACCAGAAGTGTATCAGAAGGCAACAGCCACCGCTCAGGCTCCACTGGACTGTTTTGAATTGCTCGCTATTGAGGGGACGGACGGACATGCAGATCTGCCCTCGCAGAAGAGGGAGAGCTTGTACCTGAATAAAACTTGGTCTTAAAGGTGCCACTGGACTGTTTTGGATTGCTAGCTGGGGGGGGGGGATGCACTGATCTGCCCTCACACAGATCTGGCTAAACATGTAATGAACAGACTGGCATCAAAGACACTAGATATATTCAACCATCATGTCAGTATATTATTGATCTCAAAGTGAAACTGTAAATGACATTATTGTAACAGTAAATACAATTAATCAACATTCATGAAGTAATTGTAATTATAAAAATACATGAAGTTATTTTGATCGTTATAAAGTGATTGCTCGTTATAAAGTGGTTGCTGACGAGAACCTCCTGATTAAGTTCCGTTTCGTCTCTTCGTCCGAACAAACCTTCAATAAGGGTTTATTATTTTCCTAGCTACAATTTCTGCGTGTCATGCAAACATCTTCAAGTAGTGTTAATCAGTAATTCATCTTCAATATGCACGTTACGTTGGGCGTTCTACAAATCAACTGGAAGGCAGAACAACAGAAAGCAACCACTTTATAACGAGCAATCACTTTATAACGATCAAAATAACTTCATGTATTTTTATAATTACAATTACTTCATGAATGTTGATTAATTGTATTTACTTACAATAATGTCATTAACAGTTTCACTTTGAGATCAATAACATACTGAGATGATGGTTGAATATATCTAGCGTCTTTGATGCCAGTCTGTTCATTACATGTTTAGCCAGCTTTGGACTGGATTCTCACACAGATGTGTGCAGAGAGAGAGAGAGGGAAAGAAAGAGGGAGAAACAGAAATAAGAAGGGAAAGAAGGAGAGAAGGGAAAGAAGGAAAAAAGGAGGGAAAGAAAGAAAGAAAGAGAAAAAGAGAAAAAAGGAGGGAAAGAAAGAAGGAGAGAAGGAGCAGGGGGTGGGGCTTGTTGCATGTGCCCGCCCCCTAGACTCTTTACTGCCGGAGCTCCGCTCCTGTGCGCTCCTGCAGAAAATGACCCCTGAGCACACCCTTGATTTAACTTCACAATACAGGTACACAAGCTCATACAAAAATAAAACATTTACCCTATTTACCTGAAAGGACGACTACATTTGTTCCATATGTGCTGTCAAGAAAAAGAGGGGACCACCTTAAATTTGTATCTAATTTACAGTTACGCACAGTAATAAAAATATTTGCATCCAACCTTTTTTTAAGGGGATCCATTCAGGGTAATTTTCCTTTCAGGTAAATGTGGATAAATAGGAAAAAAGTTAAAGCAATTAAATCATTGACATTAACAACTTAATTGTTTGATATTCTAAAATAAAAAGTGTAATTTACTCAACACTAGACAGATGATTTAAGAACATCTCTTCCTCCCTGATCTTTCCATCTTTGCCATACCCTTGGTTCTTCATCATGTGCTTCATGTGAAACACCACAGCTTTTGTTCTGCACAGTTCTAACAGCAACACTGCACAACTATCTCTCCTGCTCCTTCTCAGGCTCTCAGAGTAGTGACACAGTAGACTTAAGGGCTTCCTTCCATACCTGTCCATTGTATGCATTCCTCAATGAAAATCCATTTATCTCATCAATTACATCTCCAACCAGCACAATCTCATCTACCTCTGCCTGGCTCTGTGGAAGCAGGTCTATGATGAAAATCCGTCCATCCAAGTATCTGAGATGAAAAAACAACAATAGCTCTCCCTGAGGAATAAGGTACTATATTATTCAGCAAAGGAAGGACATCTGGGCAAAATATATTCGTAAACAGTTTTAGGATTTTTGTTCAGAATACTAGGCAGATAGTTCAAGAGTGGTCCTTTCACATAACAAAAGACCAAGTGATCTCCTCACATAGAATCATAAAGTTGGAAGGGGCCATACAGACCATCTAATCCAAGTTGTTCAGCATGATAAAAAGGCCTCATCTTCCATTCCATACTTGGATGAGCAAGATGGCCTTGTTAACTTGAAGTATGTTAGGAGGAGAACAAAAGACAAACGAAACAGCCACTGAGGGCTTTTAGCTAAAGTACTGGACTGGAGAGACATTCCTCCGGTTTCTCAATTACTTGTTTGGAACACAATTCTCAGGCTTGTGAGAACAATTCAGTTCAGGACCATTGCATGTGGGGACAGGTGGCTTAAGCCTTCTGCTCTGTGTCCTTTTCCTGTCCTGCACTATTTGCCTCACTGGGGAAACCATGTGTACTGATGGGATTCCCCAATGGGGCAAACAGCACCCTCCTGGGGCCCTTTCAGGTCAGTAAAACAGCACAGGGGAAAGGCATAACACCCCTCTCCCTGCATGCCATATCCCTGATCCTAATTGGTCCCCATACTCCTGGAAACTGAGTGCCAAGCACAGAACTGACAGTTCATGTTTGATCACCAGGACCTGGGCAAGGATGCAAGGAAATGGAACATGAAGCTGGGCCCGGACTAGCTAGCAGGCTTTCTTTTCTTTGCTTTTTTGTTCTTTTCTGAGACAAGCAGCTGGAGGGGATTTGACCAGGAAATCAGTCCTAGTGAATGGGATGTTTACTTTCCCATCTACCATTTCCCCTCACAGCACAGTCTGCAGTTCTCCCCATCCCCACATCCCCTGCATCAAAATGGTGCATTTTAAACCTCATAAAAGGAGGAATCCACAGGATATGTGTTATGTATTGAATTGTATATATAACTGCTATGTGAACTGTGCTATTGAGACTTGAATGTAAATACTGATGTGTGAATCGCCTAATTGAGATGCCATGTTGAGCTTCATCCTGGGCTAGGATCCTAATGTAACCAATAGGAGCCCTAGCCCAGAAAAGTGTCTGCCAATCACCGTGCAGAGCGGGATCGCTTGTGATTGGTCATTATTGCTTCAACCTCATAGGTTGCCTTATTGTACAGTGGGTGTGGCTACATTAGCCGGGAGTGTTTAAATACCGACAAGCCAGTGTATTTATTCGATGGGTTCTGGCTGGCGATTGTTGTACCGTAACGGAGAAGTAACTGAGCTGAAGAATAAACCGCATTCTTGCTGAAATCACTCTCCGACTCTTTGTTAAGCGCACGACTTAACAATTGGCGACGAGGATGGGATACTAGTGCGGGTAGGCAGCCCCGCTAGAGCAGACCCCATGTCGGACAACGAGGAAATCGCCGAGGCCGGCCAGCCACAGGCTCCACCCGCTCTGGTGGCCCCGCCTGTGTGCATAACGATGGCCGCGAGCAGCCAGAAGTTCGAATGCTTCGACCCGACTACTGAAGACTGGGACTCTTACCTCACGAGGTTTGAGTTCCATCTGGAGGCGAATGACATCACGACGGAGGAGAAGAAGAGGGCGACTCTACTCAGCTCGTGTGGAAAGAGCGTTTTTGACATCGCCCGGTCACTGGTGGCACCAGATGACCTCAAAACCGTATCCTTTGAAAGCTTGACAGACAAGCTGAAATCACATTTCTCTCCACAGCCGTCGGAAATCGCCTGCAGGCACGCTTTTTACAAGCGGGGCCAGAACGCAAATGAGTCCATAGCTGAGTACGTTGCAGCTCTTCGCAAGGCAGCACGGCCTTGCAACTTCGCGAATGTGGAGGAGGCCCTCCGAGATCGCCTCGTTTGTGGTCTGAGAGACGAGCGACTGCAGCAACGCTTGTTCGCAAGAACTACACTAACGTGGGCCATCGCCTATGCCGAGGCTGTCGCCGCGGAAGCTGCTGACAGGTCAACCAGGGAAGTGAGACAACGGGTCGCCACAGCTGATCAACGCGTCCACCAGCAGAGGGCTAACGACGCAAGCAGCGACTCCGATGATGACGTCTGCAAAGTGAAGGCGGGAACGTCCAAGCGGACCCAACGGAAACCTGCCGAGTGTACAGCATGCGACGGTTGCGGCGGGAAACATCGGCGCGAGCGTTGCTGGGCGAGAGACCTCGACTGCCGGAAGTGCGGAAAGCGGGGGCATGTTGCCCGGGTATGCAGAGCCGCAAACAAGTCTTCACCAGCTTCATCTCCCCGCCGGCACCAACGTCCCCGAGCCGCACCGAAAGAAGACACCCGCCAGATGACAGGGAGCCTGTCGTCAGAAGCCACAGCCACCGTCCTAAGCACCGAGAGCCGACAAAAGATCCACGTCGTTCTCCATCTCGACGGCGCACCGTGTGAGATGGAAGTGGATTCCGGGTCGGCGGTAACCGTTTTGTCTACGCAGACGTGGCACAAGCTGTTCCCAACACGAAGTCGGCGGAGGTTGCGAGCTGCGGACATCCGATTGTCCGATTTTCAGGGAAATCGAATCCCTCTGGCGGGGAGGGATACGTTCACAGTTAATTTCAAAGGGAAAGGTGCTGTGCTTTCATGTTTGATCGCTGAGGGAAACCGTACCAACCTGCTCGGGTTGGACTGGTTTGAGCCTCTGGGTATTGCTGTTGTGGGAGTTAATAACGTTGTGGAAAATAAATGGGCTGTATTATATGCTGAATTTCCTGAAGTGTTTGGGGGCGGATTGGGAAAGTATAATGGTCCCCCAGTGTCTTTTGAGTTGGATCCTGCTATACGCCCTATACGCCTAAAATACAGGAAAGTGCCCATTCCGTTCAAGGCAAAGATCGAGGCTGAACTCGATAAGCTACTTGAACAAGGGGTGTTGGAACCAGTTCCTTGTAGTAAATGGGAAACCCCCATTGTTACTCCAATTAAACCCGATGGGTCAATACGAATTTGCGCTGACTACAAGTGCACGATTAACAAAGCCTTGCAGCAGCATTCGTACCCTGTACCAGTCATTAGCCACGTACTGGCATCACTGGGAGGAGGGAAGGTATTCGCCAAACTCGACCTGGCCCAAGCGTACCAACAACTCCCCGTGACCAAAGAGGCGGCTGACGCCCAGACCATCGTAACGCATAGGGGGGCGTTTAGAGTAAATCGACTCCAATTCGGAGTGAATGTTGCGCCGGGGATTTTTCAGAGCCTCATGGAGGGGTTGTTGAGGGGGGTGCCGGGCACGGTGCCCTATTTTGACGATGTCTTAATAGCGGGCAAATCTGATGACGAGCTGCTGTGCCGAGTGCGGGAGGTGCTCAAACGTTTTTCTGATGCGGGCCTGAAGGTAAAAAAGTCGAAGTGCCTGGTGGGAGTCCCGAGTGTGGAGTTCTTGGGGTTCCGGGTGGATGAGTTTGGGGTCCATCCTACTAACGATAAGGTCTCCGCAATCCAGAATGCCCCACGGCCACAAGGGAAGAAGGAGTTACAGTCCTTCCTAGGACTCCTTAATTTTTATCACGCCTTCTTGCCCCACAAGGCGTCGATTGCGGCCCCATTGCACAACCTGCTGCATAAAGACACAAAATGGAGGTGGGGTCCAGAGCATGAGCGGGCATTCGATGGGGTGAAAAAATTGTTGTCGTCTGATGCAGTGTTAACACATTATGATGAGGACAAACTGCTTGTGTTAGCTGCTGATGCGTCCCCATTTGGGGTGGGAGCTGTGCTGAGCCACGTAATGCCCGACGGGCGGGAAGCCCCTATCGCCTTTTATTCCAAGTCGCTAACAGCAGCGGAAAGAAACTACGCGCAGATTGACAAAGAGGCTTTGGCGCTAGTTTCCGCTGTTAAGAAGTTTCATGACTTTTTGTTTGGACGGAGATTCATACTGGTGACAGACCACAAGCCCCTGCTAGGGATTTTTGCCCAGGACCGGCAACTCCCTGATGTTATGTCCGCACGCATGTTGCGGTGGGCTTTGTTCCTCTCAGCCTACGAGTTCGACCTGGAGCACAGGCCGGGTAAGGCCATTGGACACGCTGATGCGCTCAGCCGCTGCCCTCTGCCCGGCCAGGACTTGGACCCTGCTCCTACTTGCTCCATTCTAGCTATCGAGGAACTGCCGGAGGCACCTGTGTCTGCTAAGGACATTGCTGCTGCGACAGCAAAAGACTCTGTGCTCAGTCGTGTTATTAACTGGGTGTGGAGGGGGTGGCCGGCAGGAACGTTGGAGCCGGAGTTCAAACCGTACAAAACGCGGGAAAGCGAAATGTCGGTATCAAAGGGCTGTTTGCTGTGGGGGAACAGAGTGATTGTACCGCAACGCTGGCGCGAAAAAGTGCTGAAATCACTACACGAGGGCCATCCCGGCATGGTGCATATGAAGGCTCTGGCCCGGGGATATGTATGGTGGCCTGGGATGGATGCTGACATTGAAGAGTGGGTACGGGGGTGTACGCCATGCCAGCAGGCGAGACCCGAACCGCCAACCGCCTTCCCACAGAAATGGGAATCGGCGGGAAAGCCTTGGTCGAGGCTGCACATAGATTTGGCGGGCCCAGTACAGGGTCAAATGTTTTTGATTGTGGTGGACTCTTTTTCGAAATGGTTGGAAGTGGCGCCAATGTCTACCACCACTTCCACTGCTGTTATAAATGTGTTGCGCCGCTTAATTGCCACGCATGGGTTGCCTGATGTCCTGGTAAGCGATAACGGCGCTCAGTTCGTGTCGCAAGAGTTTGCTCAATTCCTGGCTAACAATGGCATCAGGCAAATTACGTCTGCCCCGTTCCACCCAGCATCGAACGGGCAGGCAGAGCGAATGGTCCGCACGACCAAGGATGCGCTTGCCAAGCTAACATCCGGGGATTGGGGAGTGAAACTAGCGTCATTCCTTCTACGGCAACACGTAACGCCGT